TTTTTATATTTAAATAATTTGCCACTGACGATTCAAACGCGAGTTTTGAGCAGTGTAGAGTAGCGCTTGTTGTTTGTCATTTCTCCGATCACAAATGCAGACATGGTTTTATGTTTACGCGGCGCGATAAACTGCATAAACACATTTCATTACACCAAATACACAAAATAATGTTATTTTTAGCAACATCATATGACCCCTTTAACCATGCAATCCATGCGAGTATCTCCAATATTGCCGAGCATCCGGGTAACTGACCAAACCTTGACTTAGGTGCAATTTGCAAACACTCTATAATCAACACACCTTCATCATGAGCAGACAACAAAGTTAACTAGTAATTTCAAAGTTTTAGCTGTCTTTCCTTCCCATCTACAAATAATTTAGACATTGTTTATTGTGAGAAGCTCTTTTATAACATGCTGCTGAATAATGTTATCTGTAGATGGAAACAAAAGTCACAAACCTGGTTTATTTGAAAGGTCAGAGTCATATGTGTGATGGATAAAAGTAATTGTATTTGCTGCGTTCTATTTTCTGCAGTGTTTTAGCAAAAGTATATCAATCTATTTTGCTGCTCTGTGTTTCTGCTACTGTTGTTAAAATACATTTGGGAGAGAAGCAACGTGAATGGAGGGTTCAAAGTGTGTTTGGCTCTAGATACAAATATTAGAGGATATAGCATCGAAAGGTCATTACAATAAACAACCCTGACGGTTTGGTGTGTACTGTTCTCTGTTGTTACGTTCTGCTCACTTTAAAGGGGTCATATGATGCTGCTAAAAAGAACATTATTTTGTGTATTTGGTGTAATGAAATGTGTTTATGCGGTTTAAAGTTAAAAAAACACATTATTTTCCACATTGGCTCACTCTTAACTTTTATGAAGAATATCTCTTTGGATTTGAGACTTTAGTCTTTGCAACTTTACAGATCTTCTTTATGCACCAAGAGCTTGTAACACTCTAAAGAGAAATGAAAAAATGAAATCGCATCATATGACCCCTTTAAATGCTGGTCTGCTGTTTGAGGACCCCTGCTCTACACTGTTGCTGAAAAACATGAGGGATACATGAGTTATTGTAACAGGGTTGTGATTTTATAAATCAAATATAGGGGTGTGCGATATGACGATTTTTGATCGTGGACACGATCTGCTTTTGAATAAATATAGTATCGTGCTACAGGGCACATTTTATCAGCTGCAGTTCTGACGCCTCCGCCTCAATATACTGTACAACGCCACACACATTCACATCAAATGTTAACTCAGAAGTAGAGTTACACCCACAGGACATTGCACTTATGCGCAATCACAAAAGTACATTATTTGCATGTGCTTCAAAGCCTTGCCGGTTAAATATTTAATTCACATGCTGTTCTGACGTGTGCTTTTCTGAGTGCCTACACCTGAAGCGCGCGCACTAAAGCCTGTCAAATAGCGCCTGATTACAGAACTAAGTTATCTTTTGTGCTAATACTGTCAAAAAACACACAAGGTTTACATATAGACTGTGTGTAACCATAGTTGGTTATGTCTAAAATTAAAGTAAACAGTTGAGAGAAAAACGGATGCGTGCCTGTATATTTGATGCGTGCAGGTCTTAAAGGGACAGTACTAAACATGCTGCCGACTGTCATTAAAGGGATGGTTCACCCTAAAATTTAATTTCTGTCATTATTTACTCACTCACATGTTGTCCCATGTATTAATTTCTTTCTTGTGCTGAACACAAAAGAAGATATTTTGAAGAATGTGGGTAACCAAACAGTTGCTGGTCCACAATGAATTTCATAGTAAAAAAAAAAAATACTATGGAAGTCACTGTGGACCAGCAACTGTTTGGTTTTCCATGTTCTTCAAAATAGCATTTATGTTCAGCCGAAGTAAGAAACCCATTCAGGTTTAAAACAACTTTTGAGTGAGTTAATGATGGCATAAAAATAAAACACTGACAGTATTGACAGACAGATGACAGAATTTTTATTTTTGGGTGAACTATTCCTTTAATGTTAATAAAACAAAACACAAAGATAAAATTCACTCACCACTCTTGACTGAAAAACTAATACAGTTGCTTTAAGAGGAATCAATCTATATAATGTTTTACTTTTATATTTGTTCGTTCAATTTATTGAATGCTCCTGCTAAATGCACCTATTGTACCTGAAAATAAAACATTGTTTGTTTTGTTTGTTTTATTTTTATATTATGTGTATTTGTAATGTGTATCTTTGTACTTGTTAAATAACAAAGATAAAATAGTGACAGATTTTTATTTTCGCCCACTTTGGCCTAAATATCCGCCATTCTTTTTCATCTTTTGTTACCTTGAAAGGTTTTGTCTTTATAATGGGGAAATTAGTTTGGCTGTACTGCTCAGACAAAATAGTAAAAAATGTCAAAGAATCGTGATTAAAATCGTGATATTTCTTAAAAAAAAAATTGTGATATGGTATTTTTGCCATATCGCCCACCCCTAATCAAATATATATATATTTCTTTCTTTTTTTCTTTTTAGAACCAAATATCTCTTGTCCTGTATTCTTCTTGAATGACTACTACTTCCTGACATGAGGCATCTTCTTACCTGATTTTGCTTGTTTTGTTAACAGGATGGCAGTAAAGTCTTTACAGCCTCCTGTGACAAAACTGCCAAGATGTGGGATCTGAACAGCAATCAGACCATTCAGATAGCACAAGTAAGCGGTTAATTTGTGTTCCTAATATATTCTTATGCTCCTACTTTTAGTATATGCATTTCAGTTGTGTTGGTTTACAGTATGATTAACAGGTCCTACAATCTTTTCCTTTGACCAGCATGAAGGCCCAATCAGGACAATTCACTGGATTAAAGCACCAAACTACAGCTGTGTTATGACTGGCAGCTGGGACAAAACACTGAAGGTACTGGAACCCATCTTTACCACACTTAGGGCAGCACAGTGGAACTAAAATCTAAATCCTGATATGGCCTAGTATTAATGTTTATTAATGTTAAATATTTATTATGTCACAGTTCATTGTGCAGTATTTGATAAAATAATTACAAAATATTAATTTAACCAAATATTGCAGCCTTGAATAGGTTAACAACTGTTTCTCTGCCTATCATTTTTGACAGTTTTGGGATACACGTTCCCCAAACCCCATGATGTCCCTGCAGATGCCAGAGAGGTGTTACTGTGCAGATGTGGTAAAGGAGTGTGATTTGAATTAAGCTGAATTTGTTGTAGTATCAGTTTGGGCAGCTCTTCTATGTCTCACTCTTGCAGTGTAGTTGATCGCTGGTTTTGATTGTGTGTGTGTGTGTGTGTGTGCACATTAGCAAAGTGAACATCTGAGCTCTAACATTTTCTTAGTGTAGTACAATAGGGCTGCACGATAAATCGCATGCAATTGTCATGCGCATCTCGTCAGTAAAGCCGGTTCTGTGATTAGTAGTAAATCTCCATCACATGCGTTCAGATGGAGCGGCATTTACCACACAGAGCCGTAGATCACTGACAAGCTATGCAATAAAACCAGCTTGTCAGTGACCTACTCTGTGTAGTAAATGCCGCTCCATCTGAACGCACGTAATGGAGATTTACTACTAATCACAGAACCGGCTTTACTGACGAGATGCGCATGACAATTGCACGCGATTTATCGTGCAGCCCTATAGTACAACTTGTATTCTGAAAGCATTTTATGGATATCATCTTGTTCTTTTATAGGTATATCCTATGGCCGTTGTAGCCACTGCAGAACGTGGTCTTATTGTTTACCAGTTGGAAAATCAGCCTTCAGAGTTTCGACGTATAGAGTCACCTCTGAAGCATCAGGTCAGTGTTGGTCAAATACTCAATTTTTGAAGTAATTAAATGGCAATTTAAAGACTTAATCAAACAATAAATTGGCTTAGGGGGATAATAAATATTGGCTTTGAATTAGCATTTTATATAAAATATGGTATTATTAAAGGGTTAGTTCACCCAAAAATGAAAATTAGCCCACAAATTACTCACCCTCAAGTCATCCTAGATGTATATGACTTTCTTCTTTCAGACGAATCCAGTCGGAGTTATATTAAAAATTGTCTTTGATCTTTCAAGCTGTTCCGGGCGGATGACTTTGTGGGCTAATTTTCATTTTTGGGTGAACTAACCCTTTAATGTAGCATACAAATTAGAATGATGTTTTTTTTATTTAATTGTGTACTGTCACAATGTTTATGTGGTAACACTTTACAGTAAGTTTCAACAAGGTGTTAACATTAGTTAACTACATTAGTTAACATAAACTAATATTGGAAAAACACTTCTAAAGCTTTCATTAATCGTAGTTTCTCAATTCCAGCATCTACTAATACTAGTGATGTCCCGAGCCGATCTCAACTGATAGGTATCGGCTCCCTAAGCCCGATCCTTATTTAATGTCAGCCGTCATGCCGGTGACGTGCAGTAGGTGGCGGTATTCACCTTCCAATAGATTTGCCAACTGCCATTAAAAGGGTCATATGATGCTGCTAAAAAGAACATTATTTTGTGTATTTGGTGTAATGAAATGTGTTTATGCGGTTTAAAGTTAAAAAAACACATTATTTTACACATACTGTACATTATTGTTTCTCCTCTATGCCCCGCCTTCTTGAAACGCGTCGATTTTTACAAAGCTCATCGGTCTGAAAAAGCGAGGTGTGCTGTGATTGGCCAGCTATCCAATGCGCGTCCACGGTGAAAGCCGATCCGGCGATCCACAGCACTAAGTTGATGTATTCCCTCAGCGACCAGCACGGATCGGCTCCAGGCATGACGAAACGGGTTTCGTCCACTTTTGGAAGACCAAAAAAAAACACTCCAAAGAGAAAGGAAAAATTGAAATCGCATCATATGACCCCTTTAAAAGAAAAAGACGAATTTGCCTGTTCAGCTGCCATTAAAGGTGCAATAAGCGATTTTTCAAAAATGCTGCAGGGCATTGTTTCCTCCAAAAAACAGTCCTAACTGCCCTGCTCCGAGTCAGTCTTGAACCCTGAATGTCGGTATGCGAGGTGAATGCACTAATAATGACACTAAGAACCACATTCTCTAAAAGTCGTCAGCACACATCTTGAGATCAGGGGTTTACCTGCACAAATCTCACAAGCTTGCCTGTGTTACACACGGAATGCAAGAGTGGATGTCTGTTTATCATAGCAGACGCGCAACAAAATAATGCTTCATGAAAAATAAAGCGCAGCGTTTTTAAAAAATTGCTTACTGCACATTTAAAACCAAAAGAAGAAATGTGCATGCGTGACATGCGAGAACCAGTGAGGTTTGTTCTAGCGCATCACACACATTATTATTTTTATTTTTTTTTGTTATATTTTTGAGCTTTTTTATGCCTTTAGTGGATAGGACAATAGAGAGCTTACAGGAAAGCATTGGGCAGAGAGAGGGGAGCGGGATCGGCAAAGGACCTCGAGACAGGAATCGAACTCGGGTCAATCGATGGCTTATAAAAATGTAGTTCTGGGTTTTTTAGCTTGTTTGCTTTACACCTTGTCACACAGCAGCTTTCAGGCATTGTTCTGTTTTTTGTTGTAAGTCAGAAATGACAAGGAGGCAGCTTCCTGTAATACAAAGTCAGTGGAGAGGGTTGGATTGTTTTCCCCCCGGTGGGCGTGGTTTTCAGATTGACGCGTGTCGCTCTCACTCTATATCGGCGCACTAACCACGAGGCTATTGGCGCCGACATCACACACGTTTGCGCTTCCGTGTTTAGTGTATTTGATGCACACTTTTGTAACATTCACTCATTCGTTTATCGTTTACTTTTATCTGCTGTCAGACTATGAATTGGCTACGAATTGGGTCTAGCTGCTTCGGATTTGACTGACAGACTGGCGTTCTGACACTAAGAGCTTAACCATATCTCCTTTTTCCCTTTGTTGCAATTATTCTGCATATTGTATATATAAAATACAATACTTTTACAGCAGTAGTCACATATTCTACCAATGTCTTTATACAGCATGTGCAGATATATAATAATAATAATAATAAAAATAATAATTCATTACGTTTATATAGCGCTTTTCTGGGTACTCAAAGCGCTTTACATGAAAGGGGGAGAATCTCCTCAACCACCACCAGTGTGCAGCATCCACGTGGATGATGCGACGGCAGCCATATTGCGCCAGAACGCCCACCACACATTAGCTTATTGGTGGAGAGGAGACAGAGTGATGAAGCCAATCAGTGTATGGGGATGATTAGGAGGCCTTGATGGTCAGAGGCCAATGAGCAAATTTGGCCACGATGCTGGGGTTATACCCCTACTCTTTTTCGAAGGACATCCTGGGATTTTTAATGACCACAGAGTCAGGACCTCGATTTAACGTCCCATCCGAAGGACGGTGCTTTTTACAGTATAGTGTCCCCATCACTATACTGGGGCATTAGGACCCACACAGACTGCAGGGTGAGCACCCCCTGCTGGCTTCACTAGCACCTCTTCCAGCAGCAACCTAGTTTTCTCAGGAGGTTTCCCATCCAGGTACTGACCAGGCTCAGCCCTGCTTAGCTTCAGTGGGCAACCAGTGTTGGGCTACAGGGTGATATGGCTGCTGGCTATATACATGGAGTATATCTTATATAGTGCTGCTTGAAAGTTTGTGAACCCTTTAGAATTTTCTATATTTCTGCATAAATATGACCCAAAACATAATCAGACTTTCGCACAAGTCCTGAAAGTAGACCGAGAACCCAATCAAACAAGTGAGACAAAAATATGTTCTTTGTCATTTATTTATTCAGGAAAATGATACAATATTACATATCTTTTGGTCATGTTTGTGGAAGTGTATCGTGGCATGAACAAATGAGATCTCTGAGGACCTCAGAAAAAGAGTTGCTGTTGCTTATCAGGCTAGAAAAGGTTACAAAAACATCTTTAAAGAGTTTTGACTCCACAAATCCACAGTCAGACAGATTGTGTACAAATGGAGGAAATTCAAGACCACTGTTACCCTCCCCATGAGTAACTGACCAACAAAGTTCACTCCAAAAGCAAGACGTGAAATAGTCTGCAAGGTTGCAAAGGAACCCAGGGTAACTTCTAAGCAACTAATGGCCTTTCTTACATTGGCTAATGTTCATGAGTCCACCATCAGGAGAACACTGAACAACCACGGTGTGCATGGTGCATCCAAAAAGAACATTGCTGCCAGTCTGCAGTTTGCTAAAGATCATGCGGACACGCCAGAGGGCTACTGGCATGGCCGGACTTACCATTAGGCTTGAATGGGCTGCAGCCCAGGGGCCCCGCCTTAACCCGTTTACATTTGTTCAGTTATGTGCCAGTCAGAAATTATTAGCCGCATTTCAACAGCGCGCACGGGCCAGCCGGGGCTAACAGCTTCCAGCTTCCAACTACAACATTCGAAGCCATAATCAAACAGCATAAACTGGAATTTATGATTTTTTTTCACATAGAAAAAGGTCACACGTATTTAATCATGTCTGCGCTGCGCCGAATCGCCGATTAATTTGTGATC